TCGGATTCTTAGCAGTTTATAAAGCAACTTTTGTGTCTTATGTATGGAGTTAAGTTTTGCTATTTCTTAAAGATTCACTTTTGTTTCTTCAACCCTCTCTGGACTAGACTGCTTCTTCCGTTTAAATGAGCTCCACTTTGCACTGGCCGACTACCATCAGGCTCTGGAGCTGGACAACGGCGACTGGACCATTCGATCCCGCATTGCCTCCATCCACAGCGAGTTCGGCCTGCTGGACTACGAGGAGCACAGCTACAAGGAGGCGGAGGCCCGCTTCACCGTGGCCATCCAGCACAACCCCAGGGTGGGGTCCTTCTACATCTACCGGGCCAAGGTCCGCTACATGCTGGAGGTGAGGACCGCCTGGATGATTCGTGCGCAAAGCAAAAGAAAGGTGTTCACGTAGTGAGGTGAATCAGGTTGTGACGATTTGTGCCAAGTCTACTCATTTTGTCGTAGCCTGTGTGATTGGGCCTTGAACTGGATGGGGTACTTATCGCTCCCAGCAGAGAACAATCTTACCCCAAACTGTAAGCAACATTTTTTAAACAGTAGTTTCTAAATTAACTTTCTGTTCAAAGCGATTTTTAGACCCCCAAGTCACCCTACATGTTGTTCTGTGAACTTCAATCTTCAGCTGAGAAATAATTGAACTTCTTAGCATTTGCGCCTGTAGGTATTTTTTACACAGACGTAAATATTATATAAATCAGAATGTCTAGCTTTCAGTTGTAAGATGGAAAGGAGCAACATTTGACAATGGAAACAAGTGAAGAACCGTGTTCAGTTTCCTATTGAAAAAGAAGTACGGACTATCAATGTTGGGGAGTGTGGCCTAGTGTTTGGGGTTTGTGACTTTTGATCAAAGGGTCAGAGGTTCATATCCAGCTCCTGGCAATAGGTTGTGTCCTTGGGCAAGCCACTTTACCCCAACTTGTCTCTCTTCACCCAAGAGTATAAATGGATAATGGGAGTGACTTGTTGTGGACAAGTAACCCATCCAGGGGAAATAGAAATATTCTTGGTCATTTCATGCGCTTGAAACCCGAGACTAACTGCAAACTGAGCAGCCATTGTGGATCATGAAAGACGTTACATTCAAAATGTGTTAGTGTTTTAAAGATGCTTCGATGTTATTCTGTTGCATCTTTCTGGTGTGACTTCTCTCTCAGAACCACCCCGGAGCCCGACACGACCTCCTGGTCACCCTCCACCTGGAGCCCAACAACGAGGAGATCCTCTCCCTCTTGCCTCGCCTCTTTCCGGGCAAGACCATCGCTGAGATTATGAGGAGCAAGGCTGGCCGCCAGGCCAAGGCTGAGGTGGAGAATGCTGTAGTCACAGCTTCCCCGGTCCGCCTGCCGGCTCTGACTGGGTAAGCAGGAGGGGCAGTTGCTGATGATGGGGAGGGTCGCTTAGCATAGAAAATGTCTGCTAAGCGAGAACCAGTTATCAGCTAAGATGTTATGTATTGTGTATCAGTTTTGACTGGTTCTTTGCTTATTTTGCAGAGTGCATTAATTTCCAAGCATTGTTTCTATTATTAAACTCCGTAAACTTGGACCCTTGTCAGTCTTCTTTTCTTAAAAATCTCATTTCTGTTCTATTCAAACTTTATTCTAGAATTTGTTCTGTTAGCCTACTTCTTCATCATTGCTTTATCTTTCCACAGGGATGCAGCAAGCAGAGGGGAACAGCTAAGCAGCCCACCACAGGCCAAGGCTCCAGCAGGGGCAGCTGCCAAGCAAGTGGCTTTTGCACCAGCCGCTGCCACTCCCCGTGATTCGGTCATGCCAGACCTGAAGGCGTGCATGGACGAAATTGGCTTCAACACTGTGTTGGCCAAGAAAAAGAAAAAGGTGATTGTTGTGTGTCTTTCCGAGCCTCCTTAGTTTGGACCAAACGTGCTGAATGCATTTTTGCCCTACTTATGAAATTCTTCTCTTCGTTCTGCAGATCTCGTCCCATGTGAAGAGCCTCCTCCACGACAGGCAATCTCTGTGGACTGACGCCCCTAAGCTTTGCCCTCAGCCGCCAGCCCGCCCCTACGAAGTACGCGGAGGCAATCCCAACAAGAATCAGTCCAACATAGACCCAGCCATGGGTTGGAGGTCATTCAGTGTGGGCGTCGGCCTGAAGTAGTCTACTTTTGCCGCAGGTGAAGTGCCCCGCCCAGCCACGTCGCCACACCCAGTCATGGTGCCAAGCTCAACCATAATTCTGCGCACAATCATGGTTGCTGCATGCTCTTCAGATAACCGTTAATGGGATGTTGTCATATTTTCTGCGAGTGCCACACCCGCCAAAGTCGTCACACCCAATCCAGTGGCCAACCCGCCGGATTGCACATTCTGTATGTGGTTGCTTTGCATTCTTCCCGTACATGATAAGCCTCACATTTGCTTTGTGTGCAGCAGTTGCCACACCCACAATCGGCCACGCCCACTTCCTGTTACTACATCCTATTACTGCCATGCCTTCCGTCCATTACTAGTTGATTAGGTGCTACTTTGATCTCCCTAGTGCAGATATTCAGTGCTCATGTGGGTTTTGATAACAACTTGGCGTGTTGCAAGAGCTCAGCTTTATTTTTGTATATTAAGTAGGCCAGTGCGTAGTGCGATGGATCCATCCGTTACCCAGACCGGGTAATATATCATACCTTCTCAATCCGTACCATACCACACCTGGGATATCCTCGGTCAATAGTATGTAAATCCAGCCAAACAGTGCTGTAAGACTGTCATGACTTCTGCAGGAATTGACTATCGCGCGGAGGGGGGTGTAATGCCCCCTGGGGTCACGATAACTTGATGACCTCAGCCCGTCCAAGAAAGAAGATGTCAAGTGAGGTTGAGTGGATGTGGTTGAGTCCACCACAGGTGCCTGCAAGTCCATCGCAAGTTGTCCAGTAGTCTTGATCCTAGTCACCAGCTATTTGAAACAACCTTGACAACAGTATTGCTTCGTTATCATTTCCAGTAGTCGTGACTGGTCTTTTTGGAGGGGCTTGTGATTTCCTCAACCATGTCTCTGCGAATAAAAGCCATAACCTATTAACTGGAAAGACAAACAGAGTTCTCCCGATGCTGCACAGGGTCAGGAAGTTTGCCGAGGTGTTCCAGTGTCGATGTCTGTTGGATAGGAGTTCACTGACACGGTGACAGCTGCAGGATTCGATAAACACCGTACTCCACCGAGTATTGTACATGCGTTTTGGCCGAAATGACTGCACTCTGAAAATCAGTGGTTTGAATCCCGTTGTCAACTACAAAAAAAACCTAGCCTGATTGACTTAAGTTGCTGAATTAGATTTTAATCAATATTCAGTACATTTAACATTGTTATTAATTCTTACCATAAATTATAAAGGTTCGGAAGACCATCACCAGAATACAAGTTAGACCAGGGCGTTTGATGCTGTTTGATCATAACGCTGTACTTTCCAATGTTATGTTTAAATTGGTTAATTCAAAAAGTTATTTAACTTTGCAACTTCACACCAGAAAATAGAGAAGTATTATTCTAACTGAAACATTGACGGAATTTGTACATTTACTGTTAGAAATACTTGTATAAAATAAATATTCAGGTTTCCCTTGTACCTTTTACGAGATTTTTAAAAAATAAAGCATCCGTTTTGCAAGGCCACTGAAAGTTTTTGCATAAGATGTACTCAACCACATTGTGCTTTCCAAAAGAAATCATATTTATCATAAGCACCTGAAGTTCAAAGCCAAAAGGTCTTTCCCACTTAAATGTCAAATGAGCTGTTTATATAGGCCTACATAATATTGTTGCATATGTACAAATACTTCCTTATATATACATAAATAATTTTAGTACTGTATGGGCCTCTAGCTGCACCGAGAGAGGGCGCTATTTTTAGCAACGGAGGCTTCTTTGATCAGAAATGAACTTAGCTGTTTCTCGAACGACTAGGAAATGCACGCGTCACGGTTGCATCGCTACCAACAAAATGAACACTTCCGACCAACACGACTCTTTTCAAGCGATGAGGGGGCGCTTCTGCTCGAGGTGGAGACATGAGCATAATTTCTTTGAAAGCTTTATACCAGCATTTGTTTATCTGCCGCATAGAGAATGATGTATCTGAAATTCTGTGTTTCAACGACGAAAACATTTTGGCTTTGAGATATGTATTTGAGGAAAGCGTGCAAATCCATATGAGCCGTCCAGTCTCACATACGATTTTCACGTGCGTCCAAGAGGGCGCTGTGCACGAGAGCAAACAGAGACGTATTCCCAATCCCTCCATTTGAATCGCTCGTTTGTATGCATCAACTACGCTAGTTTCCATGACTGCGCAGGCGAGGCTGACAATAAATTCTGTGGTTTCTGCATAGATGAGAAAGTAAGCATTTTTAAGGTTTCGGGTCATTGTGTAAAATGGAGGACAAGTTCTGAAATTAGGTGCGACAAAATACGGCGATGTTCGACAGATCATGAAGGGAGGAAAAGATCTAGACTTCTGCAGGTGTAAATTAAAATGCACGCCCGTCACGTTTACGGGCCTAGTTGACGCGGTGATCGGTTTTGGACCGGTTTGTATGATTCTGTTTCTCCCCAAAATATTCTAATGTCAGCAGTGGATTCCTTTCGAACAAGTGAAAGAAGATTTGAATGTCAGCATGAAACACTGAAACCATAACTGTGTGATAGGGATTGAGGCTTGGGCAGTGACGCAATTGGGGTGACATTTGAGGGGTGGCACCCAGGGGTGCACAATTTTTTTCTTTTTTATTTGAAGAAGGCTCTGAAAACCGATGAAATGTGGCTTACACATAGGTAATGTATACATTCCAAATTTAATAGAGGAACCATGGGGAGGAGCTATCGGCTTTTACTGGGGCTTTTCCCCTGTGCACCCCCCTCCCGTAGTTATGCCACTGGGCTGGGATGCTAGGTGGGGGAGATGCCTCCGAAACCACGCTTTAATTTAAACGCCGATGACAACGTCTGGTCTCAGCTCGTTCAACACCTCATGGGCAGCTCTCTTCCCAGAATACACCGCACCGTCCATGAAGCCAAACCACCGGTTCGTCGTCTCTGCCCCTGCCCAGTGAACTCTTGATGAAAGGAGGGCGAGTGTTGAAGGAAAACAAAAATGGGAAGAAGACAGTCAAGAAAAACGAAAAGGTCACGCTTAATGTTGACAGCGGGGAAGAGACATTAATGAATGAAATTCCACAAAGCCATGAGGTTTAGTGGATGACGCACATTTTGTCCACGAACGGAAAAGAGAAAGCCGTAGATTTTTCTCGGGTCAACCTGCAATCATTAAGCCTTGTTTTTAATAGTTTCAATTCGCTCAATCAAACTGCCCAGTGAACTCTTGATGAAAGGAGGGCGAGTGTTGAAGGAAAACAAAAATGGGAAGAATACAGCCAAGAAAAACGAAAAGGTCACGCTTAATGTTGACAGCAGGGAAGAGACATTAATGAATGAAATTCCACAAAGCCATGAGGTTTAGTGGATGACGCACATTTTGTCCACGAACGGAAAAGACAAAGCCGTAGATTTTTCTCAGGTCAACCTGCAATCATTAAGCCTTGTTTTTAACAGTTTCATTTCGCTCAATCAAACTGCTGTTTCTGCATCTACAATTCCTCCTCAGCATTAGATTAAACTTAAAAAAAGCTATTTCTTTAAAAGAATAAGAACTCTGTTATCCTAGTATAGAGCAACAGGATGTAACTTTTTGGATATTGTTTAAGAGATTTCTGACCGGAGGAGGCCAAAAACGCAAGACACGTTTGTGAAACGGGGAATAAAATCCTATTTTTTATATGAAAATCTATTTTACAAATAAACGGAATATTTTTGATTCTTTAAGAGTTATTTCTGACGCAACGAAAGACATGTACGCGGGCTGAGATGAGGACTTCCTTACGTAAGCTAATAAGTCCTATTGTTGGTATCAAACCTTGAAATGGTGAAGGAACTGTACAGGTATAATTCTCCCCTAAAATTTCAAAGAAACAAGCACGGGGAAAAAAAGGTTGATGAGCGAGAACGGTCCAGCTTTTTATCTTGTGATAAACTGCTGCTTTGAGTAAAAGTGGGAAATCTTTTACAATTGTGACTCCACCCTCAATCCTCCCCATTTTGCTGAAGCAAAAGTCGGGAATTGCCAGGTATCGCTCTCTCGATAAAACCGTCAACGTTACACGAGAAATGAACAAAGTGATCATTACCTCTGAAAGGGTTTTCGTAGTGCCTGGAAGTAGCCCGTCATGGCACCGGGCGCCATGACAGACGACGGGAAACTAGACGAATATGACTCGGCGCCCCAATCCTGCAGAAAAAAAAACCACAGGAAAAGATGTTTTTTTCGCTTTTTTGGCTATATGAAACTCCCCCGACACTTTCACTCGACTGTTTTCAGTTGTTAAATCTATCCCGTTGATGACTGATGGCTGTTTGAATGAGGATTTTTTTTTCTTTAAAGAGCCTGCGGGGCAAGTTTGGAAATTATAATGAAAGAGAGACGATTTTTAGGAAGTATATCTTTTCACTTCCTTCTTAAAGTGCAACATGCCCCCACATTATTTTAGCCTCTTCTACTGGATGGATTTGTTTTGTTTTGTTTTGTTTTTTGTTCTAGATCAGCCCTTTCTAGCAAACAGTTAGTTAGAATGGGGAGTGCGAGTAGGGCGACCGTTGCTTACCGTGGAAATTCGACAAGCAGGATGGGGTGGAAGCGGTTTGGGGCCGGCTGGGCAGATATTTTGACACTTGGCGCGCTGTTTATTATAATAACGTGTTTTTATTCATTGCACACGAACAAACAAGCATAACTGTATTGTGGACCACTTTCCAACGGCTCTACGTAAAATATAGTAAGGAGATTTTTGTTTCAGACTGGCTCCTGGCCTTTTTTTGGGGGGGGGGGCTACTGTCTTGACAAAAAGGTTATGGCTATCCCACGGGATTCTTGCATGCACAATTAGGGAGTAAAGCAATATTCTAAGTCTTCATTCACCTGTGCTCTGTACAGAAGGCCTATAACTTCGATCCAGCAAGGGAGCAGAGCTCTGTGAACCAGAAACTTTATCCCTATTTAAACTCTCCTCAGTCCTCCAAAAGGCGAGGATTTGAAGACTGTCAGCGGTAAGTTTCAGTTTAAATGAACTTGCTTCTCTCTAATCACTCTCTAATCAAGGCGGATTCGTTTTTACAACGACGTCTCTCTGACTGTTTTTCATTAGCTGAAAGCTTTTTATTACTCACAAAGACAGCCATCAGAAAAAAATGGCTTCCAATTAACGAACGGGCACTCATCCCTATGTGATTTGGCTCAGGTTATGCATGCGTCATGCCTTTGTGAGATGTATGAGATGGCGTCAATTCCATTGCAAGTTTCAAAGTTTTGGGGCCGACATCATTCATCATAAATCTCACGTCACAATGACATACTGCGGAGTAATGAACACTCATGGACGTCTTGTAATTAGTTCAGCAGTTGAAGCGTGAGGGAACCAGTTATAGCAACGTGATTCACTTGTGATCTTGGCTTATCGTTGACTGCCGTGCAACCATTTCCCCCTAATTCTTGGTAGAGTTTCAGCGAGGTGCTCCTGTACGTAGAACCAAAGACGAGTCCAGAACCAATTTTGATGGTGTTTTGTTTGTGTGTGTGGGGGGGATATAATCTCGAAATTTCTTTACGTGACCATAATGGCCTTTCTCGGGAATAAGATTAAAAATTGAGGACTTTCACAAGTTTTATGAAGGAAGGGAAGAGGAAAAGTCCCCCCAAATCGCTTGTTAACATTAATTCAAATAACAGAAGTTTTACTCCTTTTATTGTTTGTGGTGTCGTTGTCACTGTTGGTGGTGTTGGAGGGGCTTGCAAATGTGGCCCCCTTGGATCTGGCAGTGAGTAAAAAACTAAATATTTCTCACGATAATTCTGAGCTCAGTCATCGTAGCTGTAGCGAGTAAAGGCCCCGGGCGGGACCAAGAGAGGGCACAATTTTTGTGGTCACGGAGGCTCCGTTGGGGAGAGCCCGTGTGAGAACCGCACTACGCTTGTTCGCGAGCGACAAGAACTACGTGCGTTGCGGTCGCATAAAACTGAACGCTCACTTCCCACTAACATGGCTCTTTTCAACCAATGAGGGGTTGTCTCTGCTCTAGACGGAAAGCATATCTGCACCGCCTCTCTGGTCTTACCACTTCCGTGTAGTCTAGCGGCTGCAGTGCCTCCACACCAAAGAAAACCTCGATTCCCTTGAGTATGGCTGTCTTCCTCTCCTCAACCTGTGCATGAGGAAGAGATCGACAGCCAGTTGTAGAAATTAAGTCAAAAAGACAGCGATTGTAGTTAGAGTCCGTTTTAGGCTTGGCCGCTTGTGGATGGAAACATCACCATAAAAAAAACCCGCGTGTTAATATGCTTGACCAAATAAGTAAAACTTCACAAACCAGCTAGAACATGTACCGGCCTTACCAAAGTTAGCAACGCAGTTCGAGCATTAACCAAGCTATTACGTTGGTCCACTTTCAGTGATCCTTTGAAGACTAGTCCGATTAGACGCCTAAATTGCCGTGGAACCAAACTTGCGCGCTTACTGAACACTCGTGCGTCCACCCGGTTTGAAAGTGCGACGTCAGTTCAGTTTAAACCACGCCCACTGTAATTGGAGTTACATTATGGAGCACCTTGTTCTCATTGGTACGATCTTGCCACGTCATGTTGGTTCCCAACATGCCTTGCGCGATCTAGTGAAATAACATTAACGTGCACGCAGCCCATGGAGTCGAGGTTGATTGAGGAGTTTCGTAATATGGATCCCTGGAACCAAGTTAACGCGCAAATTGAGCCGTTATCCAATGAGAGCTTGTGCTTATTGGTGTGTGTAAGTTTATCATGAGGAGTCTGTTTGTTTCACAGTGATCCTAACGCTGGTTCGCTCAATCCATTAGGCGACCTTTGGTGTCCGTAAACCAACGACGGATCACTGATCGCGATCCAGTTCCGTGTGAAACAAACACGAAGTCAAACATGAGGCGCGCGTCCATTTTTGGAAGTCACAACACCACGTTGGTCATCATCAATTCCATCATGGGCTGAACCTGAACTAAGATCGCACAAGGCATATTGGGAACCAACATGGCGCAGAAAGACCGTACCCATGAAACGAGGTTTCCTATTTGAAGAGGTATTCAACGCGCGGGTTCCACTGCAGAAACGGTTTCTGGTTCTCATGTTGCATATTCAGCCTGGCAATCTTACCGGAATCTCTCTCCACATCTCTGCATCAACTTTCCCAGACAGGGCTGGGCTCTGGTCCATGGTCGTGGCGTCGAACAGAGCGCTGAACGGTATCTGATGATCACAATTCTCCGATGTCTGAGCCTCACCTTGCTGGGGCTTCTGGGCAGGTGACGTCACCCGAATGACATAACCACTGAACCCGAGCTTCTGCCAAAAGGCCTGCCACAAAAAAACAAACAAACACAATCTCCGTGTGGATCCAACTACTCCTAGGATGCCCCAGATATTTGATATGGAGTATAAGACCTCTCTCAATGACAAGGGCAAGTGCTAATCTGATACTAAATGTGCTAAATATCAAAATGAAAATCGGTGTGTACGGCCCTCTATAGAAGCAACGAGACAAAAACATGTAATGTACATTTTGAGGCAAACCTTACACCAAACAACGTTAATATTTCTGCAAATTCGTATTCGTCTTCCTGTGCGAACACAGTACACGGCAATATGACAAGACAGGTTATGGGTCTTATTTCTTTGAATTTCACCGCTATATGCAGGTCAAATGTATACTCTATGAAAGACAGGACTTTTCACATTGTGTACTGTGTATATAGGCTGGGGTTGCCATGGCGGCTTCTAAACATTCTCTTTTTTGTCCAGAGGCAAAATAGCTACTTGTAATTGCAGGTTCATTAACTGGCTTGCCGCACTGCAATTACAAGTACAATTACAATTGTCCGAATGTCTGAATTAGTCTTTTCATTAATCTCAGGGGGTTAGTTCCTAATAAGTGCGAGGAATGTGGTGTTTTTTGTTATTCAGTCATTGCATAAGGAACGAACAATTACGTCAACAGAAAACCTACCTCTGTAGGTTATCACCAGAAACTTAGCATTTGTTGTGCTTTGGTATCTTTCCTTTCCTTAAGTTCTCCTAATAATTTAAAGTTTAGCAGCAATGAATTTTTCTCAGACACATTATTTTTCTGCAACTTTGAACTCTTCTTCAATGTATGAAAGTTCTTTTCCATCCCTATTTGGTTACAAAATATTGAAAGGTGCCTCTTTTAAAAACCTCTAGGATTGTCTACACTTTCCTGCGCAACTGAGGGCGCTGTTGCTGTGATGTCATACAGGGAAGACATCGTTCAGTGCGTAGGGTGTTTTGTTCAAATTGTGAACCTAGATGTTGCTTACTGAAAACGTTTCTGGGAGAATAGGTGTACAACTTGTGAACCCAAAATTAACTCATTGAAAAGGTTTTTGAGTACAAACCAATGTGATATAGAAATTCACTTCTTGGGATGACATCACACTTTTCTCATGAATATGGATATCTCATTAGCATAAAACCTAAAAGGCAGCAAAATACCCTTAAAAATAGTGGTTAAAAAAATTTAAAATAAGATTAACTGAAATGTAAAGGTGCATTTTTTATGTGTGTGTTTAAAAATGCCATTGCAGCTACCCTTGAAAAAATAGCTACAATCAATTTGTTTAAATACAAACCTTCAAAAATTCACCGTTGTAACTCAGTTAACCTAAGTTTTACCTTCTTTCTTTCAATGGGTATTGAACTGTCTTTTGGTTTTTATGCTAATGGTATTTTATATTCATTGACAAAACTGTCATGCCATTTCAGAAGGAAGCCTCAGTAGTGGGGGGGGGGCTGTTGAGCACAATTTGACCTTTTCTAAAGAAATAGGAAAAAGGTCACGTATGGTAAATATGAATTATGAATATGAATGAGGATAGGGTTAAACGTTGAGCACAAGTTGACCTTTGGTAGGGGTATAACAATGGATGACGGGTAAAATTACGGTAAGGGTTGACCTTTACTGTACAGGGTGAATATGGTGGATGAAGATCAAGCCAGGCAGAAGGCAAACAGAAAGACCCTCTGGGCAATCAAACAAGACTTTTTCGACAACTATAAGGAGTTCCTGTCAAGTTACCTACATTTGAGGGGAAACGAAACTCACAAGGACATTGCGGATGATCTCGATGGAAAACTTGATAAAGGCATGAACGTCAACAAAGCCTTGAATAGAGTTTTGCCTAAGCATGCTGAAAAATTCGCCGGACTGTTTCATGACGAAGAGGAGCATGCCTAAAAGATAACAGGCTGTAGAGACAAATTGTTCCAAAAATAATGAGTACATGTAATAACTCTGATTTCAAAGTTAACAAACTTCCGGTAATCACCCTTGTAGAAATTCTTAAAGTTACTAAGATAATTATTGTAAAAAAATCAATGATGACCAACGGGAAATAAAACGGTACCAGTACAAACCTAACAGAAACCAATATGTGAAATCCACTGAATTTGTTTTGTGTTATACTTATCGGTATGACTATCGAATAATAATTCTCAGATCGGATATTGACCGGAACTTCTGCACAACATTTAACCGAAAAGTAACATCAAATAATGTTCATACATTTGAGAAAAGTATGAGATTGCAGAAAAATTGGGCCAACAGAAATTCATTGCTACTTCACTTTGAGGTATGCTTTTCATTTTATCGCTTGTCTGCGTAAATTTCTACGTTCTGTGTTTATACTTTACATATATATTAACTTTTTAAAGTTTTATTAGTAACTGCGTCTCTTTGTACCTTCGTTAAATTTGTAAGTGTTTATCAATTGGTGACAGTTGATAGGCTTATGGTTTCCGTTGCGTATACCGAGCGGATCGGACAAGGGGCGTGTATTTTTCATTGTTGGAGAATGTAATTTCCCCCCCCCTGACACGTGATTTGATTAAAGGAGCCATCTTTTTTAGAAACAGCACTAGCAACGGATGAAATCAAGGAATTTCCGAGAAGTGGCAAATCGACATTAACATGCCTTTTTTGGTTTCGAACAAACCAATTGTGTATGTTCGTGACAAACCTCTTTGTAGGTGACCACAAAGCAGAGGGAATTCCCGGCGGGCATTCGCTGCAAGAGATTGTCCCGTTCCTTAGCCATCGGTGGGGAGAAGTTGATCTTTGCTGCCAAGACAATGACGTTCAAAATAACTTGTTTTTATAAAGCCAAGCAACTATATAATGACTGCGCCAAAATGACTCGACAGCAAGCATAAAACTAAAGCCAAGGGAGAGGCATTCACATAAGGGCCGTCCACATACGTACTCATACAATGTCGACTTTTCGACCCCCCCTCCCGTGCGCATGCGCATTGCATGTTTCTTGCTTACTTATCAGACTATAAGTGCGGACTTGAGGGGACAACCATGCCCCCCCCCAAAAAAAACAGAAAGGAGCCACAAATTTAAATGTGAGAGAAAGGCGATTTGTGTGAGGTCAATTTCATAGCTATTCCTTCCAAAAGCCTGTAAAGAATGTAACTAGGCCTTTTCTCGACCTAGGTTGGCTTCGAACCCGGGTGACACGGGTGAAAGGCAAGGAAAGCACCCCTTAAGTCTGATTTACAAAGCGGTTGTTAAGCTTCCATTTTTTTTAATCCATAGACGTCCCACTGACCTGCAAATTTAGGGGGCAGCGCCACGACGACCCGCTCGCATCGATATCGCTTCCCGCCCAGCGTCTGTACCGTGACTTGCTCGTCGCTGTCCTTCTGGTTGATTGAGATGACGGGGTCGCCTAACCTGAGGTAAGAACGGCCAACCATGTCTGCCAGGATCTCACAGAGTCGCTGCGTGCCACCCTTTGGTTGTCGGGGAAGAATAGTTATTGTCGCCAATTGTTTAAGTCGTTTTGGTGCCTTTTGCTTTTATGCTAATAAGATTTCCATATTCATAAGCAAACTGTTATGTCATTCGGGGAAGAGTGTCTCAATGTAAAATTGGGTTTGCGCATAAAATAAATACTGGATTTTACAAAACAGATGTTGCTTGCATGAATTCTCTTTCCTTTGGTGATTCATTGTACATAGCAAAAAGCAAGCAAGCAACCCTTCTCAAAACGTAAGTAATTTCTTGGCTCATAGTTAGAACAGAAAACCCTATGCACTGAACCACGTCTTCCGTGGATGGCATCACAGAACAGCGCCATCAATAGCCACTAAAGAATGAATGGGTGCACTTTTTAGTACATATATTGTTTTCATACACTGAAGAGGAGCAGACAGTTGGAAATAATGTACTTTAGAAAAATTCATTGCTGCTTCCTTTTACTGCTGCCTTGTTCGCTCCATATTTATTCCCATTTTTGTTCTTTATGACTGGTTTGTCTCTGTGCATCTGCCTGTCCGTCATTCTCTCTAATGGCTGACACTGAGAGACAGCGGTTACACCTGACGCGCGTCATTTCCGTAGGGAGCGTCAATATTTGGAACAGCTAGCCTTGGTGCCCACGCATCATTTTTAGACTCACCCTTATTCGGAATTCCCGCGCTGTCTCACTTCCGATCTCGAACATGGAGTGCCACCCCCCGGCGCTGCTGAGCGCATACAGGAAGAAAAGTGTTGACATCTCGCCGGGTGGGACTCCAAACAGAATCCTGATCTGGGCGTCAAAATACTGCTGAGCGGCTATTGCGGTGTAGTACGCATAAAAGACGATATCATCAAGCACATTAACATTTTACGCTCAAGATATAAAATTTAGCTTTGACAAGAATCCGTTGTGCGGGGAGTAAACAAAACATTACACATGTTAAAAACAAAAGAAACAAAATAAAGAGACTCAAAGGTGAACACTGTTGAGTGACATTATCGCACCAAGATTTGCTTTAGGGATTTGAAAGCGTCGCAAAGCGTCAATTAATGTCCAGACCCGCCACCTGTTCCCGATGATTATTTCCTCAATTTCGAGATTTCAACCTCTGCTGCTGAAGAAATACGGTATCTGTTTTTAGAGTGTGTGTCTGCGGAGAAAGCGAAATTGACAAATGTTGCGCAGATGTTATAATAAGACCGCTGGGGATGTAGAACCAGCAAGCATAGAATTCGCGCGGCATCAGCCGCGGATGATGGGGAAATTCGCGCAGGTGGCTCCCAAGCCTTCCGTCTGCTGCTCGGTAATGAGCCAGTTTGATTTTACAGTGGCACGTGATGCGGCATCCGGAGTCATTCGGAGACAACACGCGCGCACAATCAGTGGGGCCCGTAGACACTTTGCTAGACGTAACTGAAGTGCAATCAAGGCATCACACTCCTTTGGGCAAAATTCTCATATAGGGCTGCACCTAACCCTAAAGGAGCCGGGGCTCCCTGATATCGCCGCAGTGCATATTTTTCAGGAGGTGGGCCTTTAGACGTTTTCAGAGTACTCTTTGCAGTCATTTTGACACCAAACTTTGTGAAAATCGGACACACTGTTCTTGCGTAGCGCGCATATTTCCGAAACTGGTCAGCCAAAAACGTATACTTTTTCCACTGCAATGCCCAATGTACGCGTATACTGGCACGCTTGTAGCACTGAAATGCAAATGACCCCAACAACAAAACAAATGTGTAAATCTGACAGAGTCCAAACTTCACAGTTGTAATGATACGGAGTGTTTTTACACGCCAAATTTAAAGAAAACAACGTGGGAGGCACAACCGAGTTCTTAGGGGCACTCCCGGCTGCGAAATGGGCCAAAATAGCCCGGTTCTTACCTAAGGTTAATTTAAAACTCGGACGTGTTGACGATTTTTAGTGACAACCCAAAATTTTGTTTCTCCTGCATTCTCAACCAATAATCGAAATTTGTTAATTGAAGAGGTTCAGAACAGGTGATGTTCAGTCGCAGCGAGTCGGTGGGCCACAAACCTGCCGTCCAAATGTGCCGTTTCCGGAACTGTTCCAGGGTCATCGAGTCCCACTCTAGCGCCATGGGGCAGTCTTCGGGGGTCTCCAAGGAGACGTCCAGTCGAAGTTTCTCGACCTGAATCGTGCACCAGGCGAACAAAGAAAAACGGAGCGGAGTTCAACAGGAAGTGTTTGTGCGCCTTTAGGTGGATTGACGAGGAGCGAACGGAGTCGCAGTGAGTGTTCTGATGGAGCATGATAGTGTAAAATCAATCGAAAATCAAACCTGCAACTCACAGTATCGAAACTGAATAATAACAGACATACGTGAGTTGTCAGAGTGCTTCATGTGTAATGAAGTTAGTGCTGATATCGCTCAATTGATGTAAACTGCCAAAGCCCTATAGAGGGTTTGCATGACTGCCATCTTGCAGGCCACTGCTTCTGTTCCGCAGAGTGTGCACTTAGGAGGTTTCCCTGTGGAACAGAAGAACTGCCATGCAAGATGGCTACCATGTGATATTAGGAGTAGCATGAGAGTCTGGCCGATCTCATTTTTCCGAAGGCCAATCCCTCCCTAGAGTGCCAGAAAGTTAGACTCCGTCCAAAGTAATGGCTGCAGCTGCCTTTTCTGCGCGTATGGAAGCCACTGGCATGCATTAGCGGCTGCAGCCGCGTCTCATATAGACGCAGCTTTACTCTATGAGCCCCGAGCTGGACCAATAGAGGCCACCATTTCCAAGCAATGGCAACTCTTTTGGTCAGAACTCCACTTCGCTAGTTCACAAACGACAATGAAATACGTGCGATACCGGCGTGTCGCTACCAACAACAATGAACACTCCCGACCAACGAGGCTTGTTTTTTCAACCAATGAGGGTGTGCTGCGCTTCTGCTCGAGGCGGAGAGAACCTGCATGGCCGCAGCCACGCTGATTTCGCAGAATGGTGCACTGCCTTACCTTTGTTATGAACGTGGTGTAGTCGTACCTAGTCATGGAGGACAGCGGGTGAGTTTGCGCTTCGAACTGCACCTTCCTGCCGTCTCCAAAGTGGGCCAAGTGGGCCCCGGTCTCCGCCTGGGTGTAAATCTGAAGGTCCAGTTGGTCGATGAGCTGCATCATCTTGATCTGAGAGCTGGGGGGGTGGGTCAAGGGGTAGTGTTGTCATGATTTCAGTGTAATTATGCAGGTTTCGTGGAGAATCCACTGGGATGCAACCCACGTTTCGTTCTGTATATGATTTTTTTTTTGTTGGGAAGTACGTTTTTCCCTTTCCCTTTGTTTTTGCCCTCAATTGGTGATAAATAGTGAATTTAAAAAACACACTTCAGGTTCACCTTCATCCGAGGTGAACGGTCCCCCGGCCTCCGTAAAAATGTTGCTCCCGCTTTTTTTTAATGCTGCATTCATCACTGAGATGCGTACAGTCATGTACACAGTCAGCAAACTTATGACTATCTGCGTCCATGGTTGCGTTTTCATGAAGATCGCGTCTAATCGGAGACTCTTCAGCCATGGCCTGTACTGTCTGAGCCTACTTTAATATACCTGTCGATATTGAAGACTTACTTCAGTCTTTCGATAAAAGTATAACATGAGAGTCTGTCATACTGACCCACTAATCCACTGAGCACCAAGATCCCAAAAGTTCCGACCTGTGTTTGATTTCAATTCTCGAGTTAATATGCGACCTCCAACTCGGTCTGTCAAACCAGAAAAGGATGACGTAAAAGAGAATCAAGACATGTTGGTCAGTGATCAAATTAAGGGGAAAACATCTTTAAAATAATGGTACGTTTAGTCTAGAAATGAGGCACTGTCAACTTGCACGAACCAGTGAAATGAGAAAAGCACAATACAGAGAGAGATGTAAAAATGCAGCTGATGGCGATCAATACATTCTTCTGCTTTGAGAACAAAATAGACCTCAAAGATGCAGAAAAGGGCAAATAAATTGCAGCGTGAGGGGAGAGGCTTTCCTTCAGCTGGTGGAGCAACTCCGCCCATGCGCGGTTCGTATACGTCTGCAGTGAAAGTAATTTTGTTAATTAAAGGCGTCTTGCGAGGACAACTTGTCACCAACATTTGACATGTTTATGACGAGCTCTGGGAATTCATGTCTTGATTACATTGTGACCTTGCTGATCCAGGCGGTGAATATTGCTAATGAAAAAAAAAGTTGCTGTGAATTTGACTTCAGATTTTTCCTTCTTTTTGTCTTTTTCCGTCCCGCGTGTACGTGCACGTGATTTTCAATCAATCATCCGAGGTTGCAGCGTTGCTACGTAAAGCAAAATAGCATTGCCTAGCTCCGCATATTGGACAGGCCGATTCTGATCTTTGTTCTGATACGGGCGATTCACAATAGTGCGCCTCCAAGAGTTTGCAACGTATTAGCCAATCACAATAGGCGAAATCTGTCTGCGTAGTGATTGGCCAACGAGTTGTAAACTCTTGGAGGTGCGTTGTTATGGATCGCCTGCATTGGTTTTGATCGACGCAGAGGATTCGTGTTCCAGAGAGATCGTCGTGTGTCGGTTTCTCTTCATCGTTAATTCTGTTGCTTTCATTGTTATAATCACGCTCACTGCTTTTGTCTTCGCCGCTTTTGGGTCGTATCCGTGTATCATCACTCATCAGTGATTTCAATTTGTCATAACTTTCGACAGCGTCGGCACCTTGTATTGACGTTTGAAATGTCGAATCTATTATCATCTCCATTTGGTTGGACGTGCCATCGTAAATTCCAGCTGCCCCCAGGTCTGGGGGTTGTGGGATAGGAATGGGTTGCTAGAACCAACAGTGGAAGTTCTTTCATTTCACTTCATTAATCTTCATTAACGCATTAATCTAATTATCAGTGACATATACCCGATTGTACGTTTGCGGCGTTCGAGTGGCCGACCCACGAACAACAATTCAAGCTGTCCATGAATGTACGAAGACACCCCACCCAAACTCAGTTTGGGATGGGCTATGGGCCCAGAGCTAGACCAAGCTTGGGCGCAAGTTCCTAAGCAACGGCGGTTCCTTTGGTTTGAACTGAACTGTGGTGGTTCACGAACGAATAGGAAATGAAAGAGTTACGATTGCATCACTACCGATAAAACGAACACTCCCGAATGGCTCTTTTCAACCGATGAGGGGGTGCAACTGCTCAAGGAGGATTTACCTTTACCCTTCGCTTGATTTTGTGAAGGACGAAACCCTGATAGGGTATCAGGGGTTGTTGTGTCAGTTGCGTGTTAATAAGCAGGACTGTGGGAACGAGGCTGAGCCCTAGTCAGCTAAATTGAAGGTACCTAGCCTAGCCCACGTACGCAATAGTACTATGGTGCACCTCTATCCAATGGGGATTCAAAGAAATTACGGACGGTCATGCAACCCAAGGAAACCAGCTCATCCCAGCTTCCAGTAGGCCTAATAACGGTGGAAACGAGCGAAAGTTCAACTAACCGCTAGCTTCCAACACCAAGATGGAGATTCCCTGGTTAGCGGAGCGAAGGCTATGAGCTGCCGCCAGCCCTGCCAGCCCTGCCCCGACGATCACAACGTTCACCACAGGCGGCTTCTCTGTTTGGTCTGGCACGTCCGTGCCGGTGGCAGGAGCCCGGTTGGTCGCATGAAGCTCGGTCAATAGGTCCCCTGTGGAAATTCGCTTGAGGGCACTTGCCTGTTTCAATCAAAGGAGATTTTTTTGTAACTTCAGAGACTTGAAATGTGTGGAATCAGATTATGCAGCCAAATAACACAGTTGGACCATAGAGCAAGGACTGAGTAGACTAGTGGGGACTTTCTTGTGTCTCCACGACGTTTTTACGTATGAATTGGGTCCTTATGTCCATGGAACAAGTGTACGTAATCCATAGGACTCACGATGAGAAACATAAGTTAAGAAGTGCCATAGACTTTTTTCGTGCTAAACTAGCCCATTGACATGGCTAGAAACTCAAAATCTACGTCATTGGATTCTGTTCCATGGAGACGCTTCGTCTGTTTTAAAGAGACACGATACCACGCAGTGACACCGCATTAAGCAAGAAACGTCACTCACTCTGCCCGGTCCTTGGACCTGCTGTATTTGGATTTCACCTGTATCACCTACAAATACACAAACATGCACGAACATGAAAGACTCTGAGGCTATTGACTACAGAAGTAGATTGCACTTCCCTGAACTGCTGGAAGTAAGGGGTGGACCATATAGTTACCAGTGAAGTGGCGACAGTGCTGCCCCGAGGCGTTAGTGACGGGCTTGGAGAGGGACTCCGACCCGCTGCCGGCGAAGAACCCTTGGCCTTGGTCGTCATGTCTTGGCCGTCAGTCTCCACCGCGGCAGAATCCCCGTTCTCTACGATGATCGGTGCCTCGCTCCTGCCTCCTGGATGCTCGTTGCGTTTCTGAATGAGAGGAATATGTTTAACTGAAGAGAACGATTTGTGGACTTTGAAGAGGGAACTATGAGCCCCGAGTGGGACCAATAGAGGGCGCACTTTTCCTCCCTACAGAGGCTCCATTGGTGAGAACTGTATTTTGATGGTTCACAAACGACTGTGAAATGCACGCGTTACGGTCACATCGTTACCAGCAAAATGAACACTCCCTACCAATATGGCTCTTTTCAACCAATGGGGGGGGGACTTCTGCTCAAGGTGGATCCTGTCTGAATATCTCTTTACCGCCTCATTCCTGACATAAAACAGTGGGGATAGCTGTGAGAACTCCGTCAGTAAACAAACTTGGCAACTGTCTAGTATTCAAATCATTTATTTACAGTCCCAAGGTTCACAGGTTTTTCTCCTCCGTGTGTATAATTCCTCAATGTTAAAATATATCAGTACAGTTTATCGAGTTTGAGATTAAAATGAACCAGGCTTGCAATCACGAAACACCCCAAAACACTAATACATCGATCAGTGCACTGCATGGAGCTCCATTATCACTATGACATGAAATTCAATTCACAATATACATTCAAACTTACACCAAGGTTGTCAATTAAATAAACACACCAAAACTTGTACACGTGTAGGGACCATCAAAATAAATTACGAATTGTCACCTGGGCGCAACATAATAATATGCCACCAAAGGCAAAATACACTCCTACTCAAAATTACTCAACAGCGAACATGCCACAAAGGCAGCGTGAGCCAACCAAGCAAAGCGAGCCACTCAGGCAAAATGAGCCATAAAGGCAAAATGAGCCATTAAGGCAAAACGAGCCACCCAGGCAAAATGCACCACGTTAAATTAGAGACTAGGTGACTAACTAACCACTAAGGCGGTCTTCCAACATTTAGTGAAACCACAAACTCACAGCAAATAACAAATTCAATTTAAGTAATCCTTAACCAAAATAATGTTCGGTCCATCCTTTCGCTATCGTTCAATGGCTCTTGCGTTCCAGCTGGATGTGCTGAAACACCATGTCTGTTGATGCATGCAGGTAGATGTAGCCTCACCCAGGAGCAAGGTCGCCACGCCCACAATAGCCAATAGTCATGATGATATCTCCCCTTTCAGGTACCATGCTGGGCAAGACGTTGGTAGTAAAACTCTGGTGGTCATTAAGTGCCACTTATCAAGGGCCCTCTGAAAAATTAAGATTTTTGTACAGGAAAATACAGGATCGGTTGCGCAAGTCACACATAAATAAAATGCACCATTCAACTGAGCAACATCAACAATTCAGCAGTGAGATTTGTCAGCATTCATCACATGACATGGTAACAGTCAATTAAATCATTTAAATGCATTTCAAAGATAAAAGAAAGGAAAATCTTCTTACAGATATGTGGCCTCCGTTGTTGCTTGTAATTGGTCACCTGTCCAAAGCCGCACGGCTTATGGAGTCTAAAATACCAAGCGCCAAGCGCTGCCAGAATTCCTGATATTTTTTCTATTGAATTAATTCGTGTCGTATAATTCTTGTGCTTAAATATGTACATCGGCTCCGATCGTTGCGCTTTACAGGGGCAAATAGAAAGGATAATGCACAAAAATATACCCAGGAAAAAAAGAGGTATTAAAACCAACCAAAAAGAGATCAATCAAACTGGCGTGTTTTGAGGAGACGCTTGATTACCTAGGGTCACGCCAGAAGCCTATTTTATAGCAGATCTGATACGCGTTTGGCTACAGCTGTGCCCTCTCGTTCTGATGTCAGTGCGAGCTGTCAGGCCTTTTCTCAATAAATTTAAAATTAGAAAAACTTTATATATTTGATAAATTGTATTTATATATTTCCTGTCTCTGCTTGTTACTTTGTAAAACAACTTACCATTCACTGGCGTTCTTTGTTTCTTTTGAGCTATCTACGCGGGTATTAGGGAACGACGACTTTCCTTGAATGAAAGTTTCTCCCATTCCAGTGTGCATTTTTAGTAACGGAAGTGATTAAAAAGGTGTCCCGTCCAAAGCACCTTCTTAATTGGCGGGATGCTACCTGAAATGAAGGTTGAGGCGGTTTTAATGAAGCAATTGTGCTTAATTCGTAGAAAATGCGCATCTCTTTCACCCACCACCCCGAAAGAGGACTCAACCAGCGCGCTTCTACATTACACGCGATGGCTCATTTCCGAGGGATTAAGTCTTGGCACCGATACTCTGACGCGTAATTGGGCAATTACGTAATCATGCAACCATGGTTGAAGCTTGAGGAGGTAATTTTGACGACAGTAACCCACGCAGGGCGCTGGTAACCGCCGACTCATTCACAACCAAGGCGTGGCGGTGTCTAGAGCCGTTTTGACTTTTTTGAGTGTAGTAATATGTTTTTGAGGGTATTTCATCAGTTTTATTTTATATTAGTTTAATTGACATTATTTAACATTTTGACAGTTTTGTATGTCCGGTCAGATTTAAATTTTAATGTTTGATCATTTTGATTTTGTTTATAGTTTGTGTTGCTGCTTAAAAGGACTTTTGATGTATGTTGTTTTTTTCTTTAACTGGAGATCAATGTTGACGTCACCCTCTGACCGGTGAAGAACTTAACGCGGGCGTGTACCTCTGCGTGCGAAAAGGATGGCTCCGCAGGAATGGCGTCTAGGCCTTGTTCTTTTTCCCAGATTTGTCTAAAGTGTGTGGACTAGTAACACCCCTTTATCTGGAGGTTCACGATTTCAGATTAGCTTTTTAGAGAGGAATTATTAGGCCTCTTGTTTCATTGTATGATCAGCGAGTTCGTCTTTAATCCAACAGTCCTCCAACCGTTCACTGCAAAAACTGGGGTGTTAAATTTAACACCCCCGATGTTATCAAAGGACTACACCAACACTTTTCACTGGTGTTAGAAATGTTAGTGTTACTTTGTGTTACTTTTGATATCCTCCAGTGCACTATAACACTTATAGGTGTGCAAAGTAACACCAGCGGTGTTAAAGTAACTCCCTATGGTATGGTCAGCTGATAACACCAAACAGTGTTGATTTTTGTTGGAGGGTTGGGGACTGCTACGGCTACCCTGAATGTTAATTTATTAAATTAATGACAATATTTCTCACTGTATTGTGGCTACCATGCCAGCTGCACGATTTTCATATAGCAAAGGGCTAGAATTCACCAGGGTGCCAACGTCTCCGAGTTGGACATTTTACTCTTTTCCTCATTTTCTTTGGTCATGGATTAATTGTGCTCGAAGCGTTTGAAATGTTTGATTTTTACCCTGGAAATAACTGACCCTGCCCGTTTTATAGGGCATTTTGTCACAATGATAGGGCCCTATGGGCTAAAATATTGGCCTGCTGCGAGTTTCACACAGTGTGAAATAATTTCATCGCTCGTCTTGCAAAAAGTCTGTCAGTCGCGCTTCTTCCGTCGCCGCAGGTGACCGATTGCCCGTGCTGTACATTTCGTATACGCCTTGAAATGTGTTTGTGTTTCCATCGATTAGAAACTCAATCAGGTACTTCTACAAAATCTGCAAACAAACGCAGCTATCAATGTTCCAATACTTTTGTCTCTACTTACTAACCACGAGAAGTACTAGGGATCGATTTCGTTCGGGGATCAGTGAATTTTTGCAGTCAAACTTAAATTGCGCTTTACTGGATAGCCAATGTCCGAGGTCCGTATTAAGACTAATGTCCGAGGTCATTGTTAAATCTATCCACGCCCTCAGTGGGACCCGGACGTATTTTAGATCCAGACTTGATCCAGAGAGATTATTTGGTTGGCTGATTGGTTTGTGCTTTTATACAGCTTTGCCTTTGACCGCCATGGACCGTAAATGGTACACGCACATCTGTTGGCAGTCCCATGATACCCTATGCTTTTCCATTGCTGGCTTGCTGTAGTCACGAACCACCATGTCAATACATACCAGCAGCGAGGAGAGAAAGCTCATCTTGCCCCGTCAGGTTCGCCGAGTGTGCTCCACTGACAGCTGCAAATTGTTCCTTTGCCAGGATGTGATGGGCCCCCTTTTCCGCCAAATTTCAGGCACCGGGAGCAAAGTTCACCGCCACCCGTCGATGAGCTATTAATGCTATTGTTTTGTCATATAACCCGTGCGACGCGTGAAGTTGAGATGCGAACCCCCCGCTGGTGCGTTTTGAGTGTATGTTATTACACACAGGTATATTTTTGCCATCCCTAGATGGCATCAAAACCACTGTCCAGTATGCTGAGCTTGGAATGGTGATTGCCTGTCTCTCTCGTTTTGCAGTTTTTTTTGGACGGGTTATAATTATCATATGCAGTCAGGGTTAACTCAACCGTAAAACATGCTGGTATGCAGGTGCCGTGTAAATCATGTCACTATGCTGCCCGGCTGTTATATAAGGCTAAAACATACTTTTACTTTGAGGACAAGTGCCTTCATGTCTCAGTACTGTGAACTTCTATGTTAAACAATAATTAATAATGCGCTGTTGCCGAGTTAATCGCCAACGAATAATGGTTTGAATGATGCCTTATTACCGTATTCATCTCCTATCCAGAATCCGTAGAGGTTGCCCGTTCGCAGTCGATGCGTGTGTTTACTCAGTCGAAAGCTGATGGTCAGGTTCTTAATAATTGACGTTTTGGCAAAATAGGTTATCTCTTTAAAAAATATTGCCACAATAGTGTCTGGCAGCGATGTAGCATTTGACACACGCTTCTATAAGGAACACCTTTTTTCTGTTACTACATTAGAATGGTGTAAAATAGTATTCGATGGAAATTTAAAAAAAAAATTGTGTGGTTGAGTTCCCAACCATCTGTTGCGCCACGGAGTTATGTCTGCATTGAAGCCGTTAGACTTGCCTGGGTCTGATGTGGTAATGATTTTAGAACACGAAACTGCGATCTCTTGAAATGTGTTAATTAGAGTTCTGCTTTTGCGATACGAATCATCAATGGAAGGGTTTGCTTCAAGTCCACCACAGTTATTGTGACACGTGAGCAGTCCGCTGTCTCTCTTTGTTAAGCACATCGATTATTGGTCGCTGCACGCGCGGCGTTGCACTTCCGATGCAACGATTTATGCAGATTTTCTCCTCATTTAAATAGTAAGCACACATACGCATCATTTCATCGCAGTGCATTGTGGATAGGCCTCCATTTTGCAGATTCCTCGGACCTCTCAATCTTGCACTACAAGGCTACCCCAACCGTGAGCGTTATATTACCAGAAAGGGGTCAATAATAATTGCTCAGTTTCCAATTCAATTCAATAATGTTTGACTTAATGGAAGGGCCCAAGCATTTAACAGTGTCAGATTGACAAGGTGTCCGGGGGACATTTCTGAGGAATTGTCATGGAAACTAACAATTTTCACAGCAAAATCTGTGAGAGATCTTGTCCTCCCCTCGCTGGATAAACCACTCCAACGCCACTATTCAAAGCCATCACAGACTCTTAGAAACATTATACAGAAAAAAATATCGATATTTTATTGACAGCCCGGATCCATACGCATCACACCATCTGTTACTGGGCTACGTCATGATATTCTATTATTATTTTTTTTTCTTTCGAAACCCAACCCTCTTTCGTACCAGCAGTTTTGTGTTGTGTTGTGTTCAGTACAGTGTCATTATGTACTAGGAAATTCCGGTGAGGCTCCAGACCGATTATTCGCCGGCCATTTGGTGAGTGAAACCACCGTGAAACTACAGCCAAAGCAGGCAATATCCAGCAGGCATCATGGACAAGCTGAAAGGGTTCGCCAGTGATGCCGGGACGTTTTTCAACCGAACAGTTCAGGTAAGGATATGCCCTGGTCTGCAACATGATGCCCGTTTATGCCACTTAAAGCTACAGTCATTGAGTGAATAAAACTATGTTGTATCATTCCAAACCAGAGGGCTAAGGATTCCAGATGTGTATGGTGACATTCCTGTCCCAACTCTCTCTATACACAACGGATCCAATTAGTAAAGCGACCTCTATAATACGATCGCATTGTGTCTCTGTTTACTTCTTTCTTAGGGACTTGGGTTTTCGTGCCCTACGCGTTACCGGAAAAGACTTTGAGCGCAATGTGGCTTGACAGGATGTAGTGCTTTCGCCCAACAACAGGGAAATTGACCGTCAGCGCATTGGAAAATTACAGTTTGATAGCTAACTCCATGAAATGATATTACACGGCAATGAAGGAACCCACGATTTCAATCATTACGACGTCGCAAGTTTTTCAGACAGTATCACCAACTGAAAAAACTACAACATTCAAACCTTACTGGTGGTTTTTTAATCAGTGAGGAATGTATTTCGTGATTACCTTGAACACTTAAGGGAAGAGAAGTTTTTTAATGACCAATACATCAATTCAACACTATCACTTCATTCTATAAATATCATTTCTACGCTGAACAAAAACTTTGGACGATTAAGTGAAATAGCAGTTTTGGGTGCCCCCCCCAAAAAATAATCGAATCCTGTTACAAAAGTAGCATGGAAAAAATGGCAAGTATTCACATTGAACATCCTTCTGTATTTGCCATCACCACGCCTGAGTAATCTGTCTACCGCTCAGTTCAATTCTTTTTTTGGGGGGGGGGAGCAATTAAACAGTTCTTCCAGTTTCAGTTTAAACTTTGAATTGGTAGTAATTCCAAAAGAAAGGCTTCATAAAGAAATTTACAATTTCCCTCCCTAAAATACCCTCCCCCTTCATGAATATTTAGTCGACCCGCTTTTGCAAATTTAAAGCTCATAGGCGTTCGGGTTCCGTTCCTAAGGCTACTATTGAGGGGTTTCTCGCCGAAAGGGAACCCGGGCGGTTCCGGTAACTGCTGCTGTTATCACCGGCACTGTCCGCCGTAGGACCACCTTGTCCAGCCGGACTAGTTTCAGCAAGTGTCTCCTAAATACGTT